GATGACACTTCTCTTTTGTCCCTTCAACACAAAGAGGGATGTATTACTCTACCAAATACAAAGGACTAATTCTACTAAATCAGCTTATGTGCTCATTAGTGGACATAGCAGTTTGCAAAATTTAATCAACAAAGATTTGTAATCACCTTTACTAAATAGTAGCAATTCTTATTTTATTTATCATAATTCATTTTGCATCTAACTGCTGTAAATGTATTTTATAGAATAGATGGTATTCTTTGTGATTAGCTTAATATGAAGGACACAGTAATAGTTCTTTTGAGTAATTTTTCAAAGTAATTTCCTTGCATTTGAGTGCATAACATTTTTCATCACAATTCAGTGGCATTCTTTTTACAAGCACAACACATGAGTTTAGGCACATGAAGATAGACATATTTTTGATATGTCATCCTTATTTAAGAATATTAATGCTAATATTAACAGTTGACTTGTTAAGTGTGAAGCGAAAACAGACATGACAATAAAATAATTACAACATATCTAGACCAACTCGCTAATTGGTAAACGGTTTAGGATTCATGACACACTGATTCCAATTATTGCTAAATGTGCAAACTAAGTTTTATAAAAGGGCTCTTGTATTAAAAGTGAGATAAAACTACTAAATATGTTGCTATGCAGAACGCCAGTCATCCCAGCTCTTTTAAAAAACAAAGTACTTCAGATATTTTAAATATTTGAAAAAAATCCAGATTGCAAGTGTTTAAAAACTGCACCCAAGATATGGTGCATTAGATAAGCAAGGCAGAGTATCACTTTGGGATGGAAAAAAGTTGAAAACATAAGTGTGCTTACAGTGCATTTTTAAATTAAAGATTTTTAAGTTTGTGAATTGCAAAGTCCTCAGGGAGAGTCATCACACTGCACTGAACATATGCCATTTTGGAAAAAAAATGGTTGCTTGGATCAGAACTGGAGAGTCTAATGAAGTTTTAGAATGGAAGCCCAGACACATTGCACAATACAAGCTCCTCACCAAGATTTGCCAGATTTCCCTGTCTACACAATGGTGTTGCACTCATGCTGTCCTGTGAATGTTTGGCTTTGAAAAATGATGCCTATACATATGTACATACTTTATATTTATTGGTTTTCACTACTAATGTAGTTTAGAGAAAACACTTTTGAAACTGCAATGGCTGATGATAAAATTTTTGAATGACTTTTGAATATGTGATGTTTTTAATATAGACTGTTATCCGTCAGGGTTTTTGGTTTTTTTTTTGTCATTTAATACTCCATGTTAGGTCATATTTCCTGAAATATTTCCAATTAATATGATTGTATGTTCTTGCTTGCCTGATCATGCAGTTCCAAGTAAAAAGTAAATCACTTTCATTGGAACAAGACCCCCAGTGTAGGCAGTAGGTTTAGTAATTGGGTTCAATGGTACAATTTATGCCTCAAAGCAGAAGGCACAGATGTGCAGAACGACTGCAGGTTGCACCTGGAAACTGTCAGTTCCCAAATGTACATGAAAGTCAAAATCCATATCCAAATCCTTTTGATAAAAGCAATTTTATCAAAATTCTTTCACCTCCTACATCATGTTTACATTAAATGTGATAAAAGCCCTTCATTTACAGAACAGGCTTTAGGGCATAGTGATATTACTGCAACAAAGTAACTTGGCATAATCCCAGGTCCAGTTTCTTCCTCCTGATTATTTCCCATACTTCTCTGAACATAGCAGGCTATAGTTTTCCACTCTGGAAACATTACTGCAACTTCCAGATTTTCTTCAGAAAATACCTTGTGGTTAAATTTGCATAAGAGTTCAATACCTTCTCTATCGCCTTTCCTTGATAGGAAACATTATTTTGCTAAAGAAATATATTTTTACCGTAAGGATTTTCAGTGTGTTCATAATTTTTTTATTGATTTATTCAGTAATTTGATAGGAAACATTATTTTGCTAAAGAAATATATTTTTACCATAAGGATTTTCAGTGTGTTCGTAATTTTTTTATTGATTTATTCAGTAATTATTTTATTTCCTTTCAGAATACAATATGTTCATACATGTTCAGCATTTGATTTTTCACGGTGAAAGAAATCAACTAAACAGGAATTAAAAATGAAATAAAATCAGGCTACTGCTGAAAGTATTTTCAAACCTCACTTACAATGTCTGAACTTTTATTGTTCAAATTTGAGTAACTGGATTAATTGACAGAACTGACAAGAGTATGAGTGAGCAGTCAAAGAGGATTTTGTAAGCCTAAATTCATTTAAATTTCTTCTGTTGAGATGCAAAATGACTAAGGATTTCCAAAGCATTTTTGGGTTTTGGATCAGTGGTTTTATTTGAAATTAGTAATTCTGGATTCTTGAGTAAATCTGTTTCTCTCCTCTTTCTGGACTAGAAACTCTGATCATATTCATGGTGCAAAGCCAGCACCATGATTTGATGCAGTAGGAAGGACAGCATGAAGATCCTGAGGAGTACTTTAAACTCAAATTTATTTAGTGAATTTGAAGCGTAAAATATATGAGGAAGGAAGAAAAAGACTGAGAATTTGCCTGAACCTCACCTCCTACATAAATCTGACCAGATACTTGTGGTTAATATGAAATTGTGGAGTGTGCAGTGCCACTTCTCTTTTTTAGCTGTTGGAAATTTTATGCATTTAAATAAAATGCATTCCAAGGCTTGCTAATACATCTGCTACAAACAAATTTTATTCAATAAGTATACATCTTCCATTTCTGACTTCACACTGTTAAGCAAAGGATCGCATGGAAGGGATCCAATAAGATGGGAATATGTGGGGATGTAAGTTTATCCTATGTCTTTATGTTTCACTGCATTAAAAAAATTGAAAAGGTGAGCAAGTCATTGAAGTTTTAGCATGTAGTAATAATATTTTCATGTATAATTTCCACTAATTACAATGTATTTAATAAAGCAGCAAATTAAACATGCATTGCTTCTTATGAGAATTATTTTACACACATAATGTGGATTCCTTATAATGCAAATAAGAATGTGTAGTCTGTGCTCATATTTATTCAATAGAGAAAGTACCTTATTTAACTATCACAAGAAGTTCCCATATGTCATATTAAGTACTTAAAATTTCAAAATAACATACACTTACACTTCTCATTTATAGGCAATAATACAGTCACTCACCAGAAGAAATTAAAATTTTAGAAAGGGAAAATTTTTGCTGGACTATTTCAAAATGGACACTTTTTAAGACCAGGATCCCCTCAGAATTTTGGAGGAACTCACAGAATGTTGAAAGGGGATCATATCAGATTTTAACTTTTTTGGGAGGAAAGAATAAGGGGAATCAAAAGTAAGGAAGCGTCAAGTGTAAGGAAGAGTATAATTTTTTAAAAATATAATATTGTAATTGTTTTGATATACTATATGAGTTACTATCCTTTCTTCTGTACACTTTATTAAAAATTATGCCCAAATCATGAGTGCTACATCATGAATGGAAAATAAATAAAAATTCAATTCCCTAGAGTACCAAGTCTTGTTGATCCACCCCTGCAAGTGTTCAAGACCAGGCTGGATGTGGCTTAGAGAAAATTCCCTGCCATGATGAGTAGGGGGTGGAACTAGGTGATCTCTAAGGCCCTTCCAACCCAAACCATTCTGTGATTCTGTTGCTTAAGGAGCAGGATCCTGCATGGGGGTGCTCATGCACAAATCCCCCTGGATGCTGCACCACTTCTGTTGTCACTGCTGTCACTGCCCCAGGTGGCTGGCAGGAAAGGCAGCCAGCCTGAGTCCGCTTGTGAGGAGCCACTGGGAGAACCTGGGGGAGCCTCACAGGGGAAAGCTGCTCCTGCCTGGATGGGATTGCAGGCAGGGGAGGACACAGGCTCCCATGAGTATGACTCTCTGCTGCTCTAAATTTTTGCTTGTATTTCAAACTTAGGTAGAATGCTTTTGCTTTGAATGGTAGTGACAAACAGTAGAAAAATAGCTAAATTATGGTATTTAATAACATTTTAATAATCATGGGCATTCTGCAGATTGGCTTTTGTCCAGATATTTTTTTGTTCAAAAAATAATTCATCTGAACCACATTTTTAACTCAGAGCTCTGTCTTTAATCAGTAGCACACCATCTCAGTCACAGGGTGAGTTTTTATCAAAATGAAGACAAAATGAAGTCATAAAAGTCTTGGAGAAAAAATTCTTGAGTATCATTCATGATGGCAGTGGCTGGGATGAGCCAAGTTGCAGAATATGATGCTAAGGAGTTATTTCCATGTTGGGCAACAACTGCAGTGGTGGCACTGGTGGCAATTTGTTGTTGTTGTTGTTTTCTTTTTGTTTTCTTTTTTGTTTTCTTGTTTGTTGGTCTTGTGATTTTTATATCATTCATTTTCTTCATCACTGTAAAAGACTTCATTCTGATGGCACACTTTTCTAGTTCTATGCTTGTGCCCTATTAATGTCATAGTATGCTGCACGTGCATTCTGACTTTTATATCTCAGTCATGAGTTCCTGAAGAAGTACAAGAAGAAATTAGAATGCTAAATGTAGCATGTTAGATGTAAAACATCCAACAAGGTGCTCAGAAACTTGGATTCTCCATTTGCTGCTGAAAGAGGGGCCGTTCAGGCTGGCCACAATAGCCCTGTTGTGCTGTGAAATTCTCTCACACTGTATTTGTATTTTGAATCAATAGCTGCCCTGTAGCCAAGGTTACAGTGACGCACCACCCAAGCCCACAGAGAAGCAGAAACTCACGGCTGAAGCTGGTTAGAAACTGGATTGTGGTGCATCACCTGCCATGGGATATAATCAACATGATATGTGTGTCCATAAAAGAAAATTAGGGATGAAAATGTGCGGTGTAAGATTCAGGCATGGATAAGAAAGGATAGGACTAAACACATTGCTAGATTTGATTTGGTTTTTCTTCCAGAAGTGTCCTTTTTTCTACTGCTATTTTCCCCCTGCCATTCTCTTCATCTTCTGTTCTTGGTCCTTTCCTCCTAGGAGACTCCCAAGACTACCTGAGGCTTTACTGCTGTCAGTGTGCCACTGCTGAACCTCTCAGGATATTCTGCCTCCTACAAAACAGAAACAGAGTCTGTGTTCAGGTTAGCAGCTCCTTCTTGCTCTCACCGTGATGTTGCGCAACCCATTTGAGCAGCTGAGTTCCAGGGTGGCCCCTAAGCAGTCCTGCTGCTCTTCCAGTCTTGGGACCATGACGCCCAATGTGACCCAGATTCTTGAAAGCTTTTTTATTTGTGTTCCTGCCTTCTCAGGAGACAGAGCTGCAGTTTTTGGTGTGACCACTGAAATACATTTCCAACAGGTTTTGTTTTATATTGAACATGGACTTAATAAAGGCTGTATTGCTTTCTATGCTGGGATGTTCAAAATAATCCTCAGTAACTTTTCAATTCATGACTTACATTTTTTGGAAGGCAGAAGCATATTTCTCTGGGGGTAGAGTGTTACATGCTAGAAGAGTTTGGGAGAGGTATTTTTTTATACTCACAGAACATGTGGTGCAAAACCATTCAGCAGCTTTTCAAAAATACAAAGATAATTTTATTCTTTTTTCATCAGAGTTGTTGGAAGAACATCTCATTCACTTCTAAAGTAACCTCATACCAATTTTTCCTTATCATTGATGTTTCTTTTTTCACTTACCATGTTTTTTACTGTATTTTTGACATGTTTTTTTACCTGAGGAGGCAGATGGAAGAATTATGCAAAAAGGTTATTCTTAGTTGTGTACCTCAATAGTGTGTGAGGCAGAAAGCAGGAATATCTAAAATCTTTGTGTCTTTGAGCATGACTGAATGGAGACTGTCACTCGAACTCTTCTAAAGAATTGCTTTAATAAAACATGTGGGTGGTAAAAATGAGCAGTCTTCGGCCAGATAAATCTCTGACTTTGAAATCTAGTTTTCAGATATAATAATTTCTTTTTGGCTTTTAAAAATGCCAAGAAATAACATTAGAGTCTTAAATTTGGTTTTTATTTCTTGATTTTTTTTTAGCTGTTGAAAAACAATGGGATTCTGTACTATATGGGGAATACTGTTGGCTTGGCCTTTTTGGTTTTTTGTAAGGCGCGTGTCTTTTTTTTTTTTAATGCCATCGTTTTACTCAAGAATTTAGACACATGGATGAGAAACATGTATCTTTTTCTGAAGCCAGAAGAACAAAGTTACATCCCTAATCCTTCCAAAAGGCTGTAGGATCCAAGGAGCTGTAAAACCTTTGAGATACTGGGAGAAAAAGCCTGACAAAGGGTGGTGGTATGTTTTGAATGATGGGAAGGGAATGACAGTGTCATTAACTTGCCTGTTAGTGACATGTTTTTAGAAATGCTTATTTGTAATTGTCTTGAGTTTTCAATATTATGGGCTATGTTACGTGTAACTTTGTTGGCCTACAGTGTTTGAAGACACAGCTCAAAATAGGCCAGATATTTTTGTCCCTTTGAATAAAGGGAGTATGTAGCCTTTCAGAGATTAATTTTGGTCTTGCACAAGCTAGGGCTGGAAACTAGCAGAAGGACAGTGTGATTAAGTACACTGTTCTCCAAGATCTAATAAAATATTTTTGTTCCTGTCTCCTGTGATACAGTTGTTCCCAGCCCTAGAGTTGTGTGACTCCAGAACAACCCACTGTGGCACTGCAGAAAGTGCAGCGAGTATTCTTTCTTTTAACAGTGAGGAAAGGCATCTGCAAAAAAAAGAATTAAAAGAAACAAAACAACTTCTTATTCTTCTTCATATTTCATTAACTTCTGTCCAAATATTTCCCAGTCAGCATGTGGAGTGATTTCATTCTCAAATCCAAACTCTGAAATTGTATAATAATAATAATTATAAATGTAATAACAATATTGAAGTGTACTTCCAAATTCCCTTTTTATATAGCTATCTGCTTTTTAGTTTCATTTGTAGTCCATGCATGAATTTTGACAAAATAATTGCTTTTTTGGTGCCCACAAATAATGTAATGAACTATTTCCTATATCCATCAGCATGCTAGGAACTTTTATGCAAAAGATTGTAGAGATAAATGATTTGACTTATCAGGTATTAGGAAAAAGTTCCTAGCATGTTGAGAGCTACAAAGTGTTTTACAGCTGTAATAAATACCCTGCAGATAAAAGACAAAAATGGATTTACACTTCATTGAGATTTGGAATTCATGTTGTGACTTCAGCAACTTCTATCAATTAAAAATGTCTTTTGCCACAAAGCAAATAATCTGTCAGTTTAAATCATTATTAGTTTAGTTCCTTGAGAAAAGGAAAAAAAGTCTCCAACTTGTTTTCAGATTAAACTATACACTTAAAAATAATTTTTTTCCTTTACTCCCTGTTGTAAACTTTAATCACATTAAATTTACTTTTCTTGTTAGGCTATTGAGTGAAACGTTGAGTACATAAAAACATTAAAATAATGGAGGGAGTGGCAGTGAAATCAATACAGTTCAGCTTCTAAAGAGGACACAGACTGAATTTTCTGGACTGTAAGATCTCCTTCAGCAGTGGGTATCAGATAGATAATGCTCTAATTCTTTAATTTGTTGTCACCATCACCTAAATTTCAGATCATTCTTATCTATTGTATGTGCTGTTCCATTTAGCTGAAGTGTTGATTACAAGTTAAACTAGACAAAATGCCTTAAATATTGTATCCTCAGTTGGAATCTCCAGCCCCTTCAGTGAGCAAATACTGAAACTCAGCTAAAAGACAGTAAATGACTGAGGGTCTGCTTCCAGAATGAGGCAGATCAAGCTCACTTCAAACACTGTGGGAAAAAAAAGCTGAACTGACTGACAGTGGTGCCCCAAGAGTAAGTAGCATTTTTAACAGGATGTGAAGTCTTGATTGAATTTCAGCCCAAAGACAACAGATGTAATTTGGAGAACATCATTATTTTAGTTTCTGGTCGGGCCCATTTTCAAGAAAGTATGCAGTGTGTGAATTATGTAAAACATCATATGGTGGGGTAAAATGAGAAAAAGATGTATTTTTTCAGAACTGCCTGCCCAACATATTCAAGAATTCAAAGTTTTATCATGTGGGCCATCCCATGTTCCTTCTAACTGAGTATACATATGCTCCCATAAGAAAAGAATTCCATTACTTTTGAATTTCACCAAATTTTGGAGCAAGATCTAGGCAGCAGCTGATTTTTCTCTGCATATGAGAGAAGAAAAAATCTTATTACTTTTTTCCATCCAGTCAGTCCTTTCCAAACCCTTTATGTCCCATAATAATTAAATACATTCCTTTTAGCAGCTAATTGTAAATTATATCTGAGACTTAGTATGTTTAAAGCTATTAAAAATAAATATTTATTTTTATTTATGATAAAGCAAAAGTACTTTTGTTTGTTTGTTTGTTTTAATCTGTTTCAACACTTTCATATCTAATTTGGAGTCCTAAAGTTCCTTCATTGGGTCCTGAGCAATGCTGCACCCAGAAACATTTTCTCTGTTTCTACTTTTGCATCCCTCTCTTCTCATTATCATCCTTAGGAATTGGAAAGACCAGATTTCCAGGAGCTAGGATAGACCAATGTAAATGCAGTGGTTTAGTGCACTGATAGCTAGTCTTCCTAAAATCTGCAGGCAATACATTTTCTATTTCAGGAGATACCAGTTCATCCTGGATTAAGATGAAGAACATTTTTAGACAGATTTAGGATGTCAGTACAGTTGCAGAAATAGAAGAACAAAACCAATTGCAGATAGAGCTACTCCCTGAAGGAACTGGGACAGCCATACCAGGATAACTCCTCTGGAGTTCAAGGGGATACCAGCTAAGGGTTTTTGTCTGCTGCGTAGAAAGGGGGTCAGAAAGTCATTAGAGGTAAGGGGTATGAGAGCAAAAAGAATAAGGAAACAAGTGTAGAAACAAGCTTTATATCCATAATTTTAAGGTTTGACAACTGATTTAAATTGAACCATACTAAGGAAGTACATATGAAATTATTAATATGAAATTTCCACTATGCCAAGGCCAAAGAGAAGCCTAGTGGATGATCTAGGTATGTATGCACATACAAAATAGAGCAAAATATATCCATTAGTTGCTTTCAAGCCATAGGCATGATGTACCAAATGACAAAAAAGGTCGGTGCTGCTAAGTGCATGAAGGGCAACAGAGCTGGTGAAGGTCTGGAGACCAAGCTAGGAGGAGTTGCTGAGGGAATTGGGGATGTTTAGCTCAGAATAAGAAGAGTCTCAGGGAGACCTTATCATTCTCTACAAGTACCTGAAAGACAGTGGTAGCCAGGCAAGATTCAGCCTCTTCTCCCACATAAATAACAATGGGAAAACAGGGCAAGGCCAGTCTATGCCAAGGGAGGTTCAGGCTGGACATCAGGAAGAATTTCGTCTTGCAAAATATGTCAAGAATTGGAACAGGCTGCCCAGGGAGGTGACTGAGTCACCATCCCTGGAAGTGTCTGGATGTGGCAGTTAGTTCTATGTTTTAGTTGGCATGGCAGTGTTTAGTCAAAGGTTGGACTTAATGATCTTGTAGGTCTTTTCCAACCTAAATGACTCTATGATTCTAACAATTAAAGGGGAAAATGTTATTTTCTTTCCCCAAGATCCTAGTCTTTCCTGTAGTGGCCTGAAAATGAAGATGCCAGGACTTATTCCATTCTTCCAGTCATGGTATATTTGCTCAGGTTCAGTTATTTCCTCTGGAGGCAGCAGATGGCACTTTTCAGCCACTTTGTTTGGATGCTTCTCAGAGCAGACATCACTTCAGAAAAAAAATGCACATTTCTTATAGAAAACAAGAGTTAACATAATTATGAAAGTTCTTGACAAACAGAGTTTTAGAAGAAAATTCCTCTGTACTTTATTTTCAAATTAACACCATGACAGTAGACTGAGGCCTGGAAAGAATACAATAGATTTATTTCAGGATAGTTTTTTCTCATGGAAAAAATTCTACTCAAATGAAAGCTGAAAAACGTCCCCCAAAACACAAATAAAATATCCACTTAATCTGCTTTCCTTTAAAAAAGTGTATCATTATTTAAACCCCACCACATTTATTGTATTTTATCTATGACAGTAATTCCATAAAGGAAACATGCTGATGTTGATTTGTTACCAAGGCACTCATCTAGAAAATCACTTTAAAATATGGGATAGCAGAGTAAGTATTTATGTAATGAAAAGAATGATAGTGGCATGTTATTAGCTATTTGAAAACAGTTTAGGGGAAAAACAAAGGAAAAAGAAAGGGAGAGAAAGGTACATTGTGTTCCTAGTTGTAATTACCAGCCTGTGGAGATGTTGAGTCTATAACAAACTCCTGAGGGAGAAAAAAAAGGAGGGAATGTTAAATGTCAGTTTTTATTTTTAGGATGTCAGGAATACCATGTTTTCTGATTATTCAGTTGCTGAAAGTGTGTTGCTTGGATCTAAATGTGTTCTATTTATGTATGCACGTTTAAATACCTGTTAAAAATAAACTCCTTGTGAAGGTGATGGTAGTAGCATTGAAGTAGCACTGGTTTCTAAATCCTTTCTGTTACTGGAAGTATTCTCTATTATATTCAGGTTAATTAGATCATTCCCTGAATACTATGCTGTAGAGAACTAGTTAGTCCCATGAGTGCATTAGAAACATTCTCTGAGCTGCAATATTTTGTAAAGGATAACTCCAAGGTGAAGTCAGACATAAAGGTTTACTCTGTTTCTTTCAGGCTCATCCTGCTTCCACAGGATATCTTTGTATAGAATATCCGGCACTCTGTTGGGAAACTGACTTTTTAGTTCAACCAGTGGTGGTGTTTCATCTCAGAGAGTAGTTATTTCCTGAATGGAACTTGCAAAACTATGGAGAGAGGTACCACTCCATGCCTCCCTGCACAGCCAGATTGTTATCACTGTCACACTTCTGCCGTGACTTCCCTGTGACTCAAGAACCAGCAGCTAAATATGGCTCCCATTATTTTGCCACAGGGTCACTGAGGACTGTCTCTCACAAGCTACTTTTGGAAATCATTTTCTTTGTTAACATTACTTTAAGAGGGGGAAAAAAGTTCTCCACCCAAATGTGTACTAAGCAAGGCAATGTTTCACAGGTTTTATTGCAATGTCAGGGTAAGGTAACTGTAGTCACTTCAGCCTGGTGCTGCCAAGCCTAGACTCAGTTCTAACCAGCTCAGTTGGGTACTCATTGTGAATTCTGTGCCATTATTTTTACCCCACAGTGAGTATTATGTAGACAGGGACATCATATCACTGAGATAACATGAAATAACCATCCAGATGCAACACAGTAAACCATTTGCTTTGATATATCAATCCCCAGGATCACACAGCTTCATGTTCATTGGATATTTGACTCATTTCAGTATTTTTTTAACAAACAGAGCATTTATCAATGAATTTGATTTTATTTGATGAGCCTTTACTCCAGTAAGAAAAGTTGAGACAACTAGTGCATTAAAAGCACTGTGACATAAATCTTGCATTTTTTACAGAGAAAACACAGCATATCTGAAGTGCTTCTTGTCCTGGTAAGGGACAGGCAACTTTCATGGATGAATCTAGGAAGAAAAAAATCATGATTCTGATCAAATTTAAAGTCCCAGAGGAAGGTTATTGCTCCAATGGTGCATGTTAGCAACCCCATTTCCAGCCTGTCCACCACACTTCAAGGTTCCACTGGAGATCATTATTTTTTCCTCTTTCTCCACTTAGATCTTCTCTTGAACTCCATTGTTCTCTACAGATTTAAATGTTTTCTCTTTCAGATTGTCTGGGTCATTAACATAACTCAGTAAAATTCAGTGCAGGGATTTTTTTTCAGCCTGGGCTAAACTGAATTTTGCAGTTTTGTTCTGAAGTATGCTTGTTTGTTTGATTGGGTTTTTATTCTACCAATTACATTGGTTGCCTAAAAGAGAGATATTTCCCTTCAAGTCATGCTTCACTATTGTAGTCACAACAATCTGTCGTTTTTTAGTAGCATAACAGAGCTACTAATGAAAATGTTATCATTATTTTTAGCATGCTAGTCTTTATTAACACTATACCTTTTATTCTTGAGGGCTTACTGTGTTGCCACAAGTTTGTTAAGGGGTGTTGAGAAAAAACTTTCTTGAGAAATGTTTTTTACACACATAATTTCAATTAAAGCTGTAAAACTGTATGAAATAGCAGATAATTTGGTTCTGTATAAATGGTCAAATTTAATATATCAAAGAAATAGTAATTATCTGCCCCTTTAAGCTGTGTCTTAGTTTGCATCTCTCTGCAAGTTGTAACTACTAGATTTGAACACCATCAACCTCCCTTAAACCTAGCGGAAATGTAGGTTAAATTCAGTTTTCTCAATGCAGAATGTTGGTGTGGATCTCAGGTTTGTGGGCTTTTGACTTGTTCTTAGGAACAATAAGTATAAAATGGGATATGTCTGTGTTTTCTGCAGATTTAGCTGTAGCTCTTCCTGCTGAAAGAAGAGACTTTGGAAAGGACTACAGGGCAGCAGAGTGGAGATCTCTGTATTGGGATGCCTTTTGCACTTTGATATGAGAGGTAAAAAAGTTTTCCAGAAGTTTCTCTGTCAGGGCTAGCCCCAGTGCTGCTCAGCCAGCTGGCCCTTCCTGCTCCCTCCTCAAAGCTGCACTGTGTCAGCCCTGCAAAATCCATCGTGATAATTTGTAGCGTCGTATGAAGGCTTTGTATTTGCCAGAACCTTCTCCTGTGTTTCAGCTTTTCTCTCTCCATAGCTGAGGGAATATCTTGGGTCAATTCTTCCCATCCTCACACTAGATCATTTTTAAAAGTGCTGAACATCTTTGATTACACTTATTGGAGCATTTCCAGAGAAGGAGGAGGAAAAAATGAGGTGAGCAAATGAGGTGAAGTGAAAGCAAAGCATGACCCAAGGAACAAGTTATTACTGTCACCCTTTACCAAAGTCCACTCTAGGCAAAACAGGGTATGTAATAAACTTTTATGGGAATTTTGTTTGTTCTGCTCTTACCACACTCTTCAGCACATGTGAGCCTAAGCCATGGACTTTGGAACCAGAACTGAGCATCCCTCACTGCACACACTTGTTGTGTGCCATGAGGCATTCTTTGTGGTGGTGTATTCAAATGTCTTCTTTGGTATGTGCCAAAAGAGTTTATAACCTGTTTCTCCATTATTAAAATCCATCACCAGTTAATGAATATATTTGAGCAAAGTGTCTGATACCTGATATGGGAAAATTTTAAATTTTCTTTTGTGGAAATATTCCCAGTCATCTGCAATTACTTGCCAATAGGATGACCAAACAAAGAAGTTATTCTATTCTGATCCACTCTACAGTCCTTACTTCCTCCTTTCCTATCTTCCTTCCTATGCTTCTTGCCTTTTTTTTCTTTTTAAGTAGAAGAAACCTGGCAATGTGCTGTAGCTACTTTTGAATAACAACTTTTGAAATACAACTAGCAAAAAATTATCAGTAAGATTAGAGCTGTGGACATACAGTAGGTTTTCACCACTGTTTTTATCTCTCTTCTATCTAGATACATGAATATACATAAAGCAGGAAAAAATGCTGTTCAGTACCTTCTGGACTGCAGTATTGAAGAGTGTCTGTAGGAATATACCTGAAGCATGGTAGGCAATCTGAACCTTAATTTTCTAAAGCTATCAGTGAATATTAACATTCAAAGTAACGAAATCAATTTTTACTGGACACAAGGCCTGGGAGAAGCTGACAAATTTTTTCAAAGGCTTCAGATTTTGTACTGGTATTTCATTCCTTCCAGAGAAATTGTGTATTGATTGAACTGATTTAAACTGAACTTTAGTGACTAAATCCAATATTTCAATTTTTCAGGCAGCAAATTTTATGGGGCACCGTGCAAATAATGTACGTTATATATATATATGTATATTTATGTATTTATATTGATATATAAATAGATACTTTTATATGTATTATGTAGGTGTAAGAGCTGTGCTGCTAAAGTGAATGCCTCCAGCACTCTGCTGGGTCACTGTTGACACATTGTAGTGAGAAAGCAAGGAATAAATAATATAAATGCATATTAAATAGTATCTATTAAGTTCCAGAGACTAACGCATAATTAATTTAAGCCAAAACCCTCATCCTTACTAAGAGAGCATTTAGTATGCTTTCACTAGAAAAAATAATTTTTTTAAAAAAGAGGCAGGGCACCTGTGCTGGACTCTTGCAGTTTAGAAAATTATCTGAGCATACATTTGGTATCCAGCAGTCCTCAGGTTTGGCTGGGCAATGCTGCTGATTTCACCATGAGGCAGACTAGAGAACATGGGAATAAAGCACAGCCCCGGCTAGGTCAGCTGCTAGGGCAGCCAAAAAGTTACAAGCCCTTTAGGTATGGATTAAAAAAACAAGCCTGATGATCCAAGTGACCTTCAGGCTGCACCTGAGTGTGAACATGATTGATGGTTTGCATGTGTTGTCTACTAAGTGTTTTTTAAAACCTTGTTGAGTAATAGTTACAGCCACCATAAAGGAGAGCTGTGCAAGTTCACTTAGAATTGTAATTATAGAAGACCACATGCAAACCTTTTTGAGAATTATCTCTGGTTTCTGTCATTTAAGTGACAACTGCTTTTGCCAATTACAACTTAACCAGATTAATATTCCATTAGAGAGAAAGCCACACAGCTTAGCCAAGTGATTGAGACATTAGAAGGTGACCTGGCCTTGCAATAATGTAGTCAAACAAGTTATTTTTGTTCTAGTGAGTTTGACATCTGCCTTTGAGTTTGTGTTTTAACCTAAACCTTTATTCTCACTAAATTTTCACTCTTCATCACACACTCTCAAATCTTCATTAACACTGTGTGTTTCTGGATAACTCATGTATTTTTTTCTCACTGAGGCTGGAGTTTTTGCAATGGAGACAATTTTCTTAAATAAATACATCAAAAATAACTTTAACTTATTGAAGAGAGTGTTAGAGCAAGGAATGGGTACATTAACTGATAATTCAATCTATTGCAACTCTACAGTATAGTGAAATTTGCAACAGAATTCGACAAGGAAGAGACTGCTAGAAAGATTCTAAGCTAGATTATTCTAGAAAGGATTTTCTGGGCTCAGTATTTTTATACTGCTTTTTCAGCACTTCTTTGAAGTTTTTTGAGAAAAGACTTCTTGGAGGGAATCTGTTGGAAGGCCTCTGAAAATTAAGATCAACAAACAGTGCAAAGTCCAAACAGACAAAATGCAAAGCTGTCTACTGAAGTGACAAATAAAGTGTGTTGGTTGTGGCTGGATGTGGCTAATTTCCCTTTTGTTGAACACTAGAGAATAATTGTCCCAGCATCTGGTTTGTTCCTTCCTTTGGCAGTTGTAAAGAGAGAAAAGCCATGCCTGGATCCTGTGCTATCCTGCTAGACACTATGGAACTTCATCTTAGAACTGTACTTTTGATAATTACTGTATTTGAAAAGGATAGAGTCCTTTACATGATGATAAATAAAAATAGCAGATTTTCATCAGTGGAAAGCAGCCTGTTTCACAAAGTCATAGATGCTTGTCAGTGAATTCTGTGAGGTGATTGTCATGATCTTTCCAAGTTTCCTTCTGTGCCCTAGAGACCCACATAAGACCAAAAAGAACATATTTTTGTGGGATTGTTGTTGTTCTGGATTTTTTTAACGGTCTTTTTCTTATTCTCAGGCACACTGGTTTTGATATTTTGCTTAACCCTGCAGTTTAAATATGTTCTAAAGCATTTTATATCCTTGCCCCTCCCCTTCACACACACATACACACCCATTCTGGTAATTCATAGTGCTATTTTCCAACTTTTATAGCCCTTTACAGATAAATGAATCAAAGGCCACTGAAGCCTAGTCATTCAGCAAGGCATGTCTAGAATCCATCTCATACTGCTACCTTCTAGCAAATTTAGCACATTGAGAGTCGAGTTGCAATTAGGAAATTCTTAACTTGCAAAAAAAACTACACCGTCAATTTTGCAAATACAAGTACAAAGTGATATCACTATGTGCCCGAGGCTGAGTCTTTTAGGATTATTGGTGAACCTGAGAGATTGTAAGACTGTGGTAGCCTTTTAGAGTTTCTTCCCCTAACCAAAGGCTTTGGAGTTGCAGATGGGGTTTGGCAGAAGGAATTAAGACTGAGCTTTGAAGAGTAGGAAAAAATGACAGAACACAGCCATGTCGTCTCGTGTTGCATATAATTCATTAACAAAGCTTTTGAACAGTAATGGGATCCTTGCCTAGTACTGGTTTTGATGAGAATCTGATAGGACATAAAGCTATCAAAGTCAAGCTTCTTTAAAGATCACAGTTCATTGAACAACTTAAAAGCTTCAGTAAAACAAAGCACATGCAGCCCTCTGTTCTGGTGTTCTGCACAAGATAAATTTCCAATAGTCTCTGCAGAAATAATGGCTTATTATAACAGCTATTCACATCTAGTCACTGGACAATACTGTAGCTAAAGCAAAATGCAAAATGTTTTACTTGTGGAGAGGAAACTTAACAATCAGCTTTGTCAACTCAGCGGGTTCAGAGCCTTATTAAAGGGAAGTGTGTGCTAAACAAAAGGTTCATCTCCCACACATTGATTCTGAGGACATGTATATGTTTGTCCTGACAGAAAGCTGAAAGTCTAGGAACCATGGGAAGCACGGCATTGCTTTTACTCAAGTGGATGAAAATGCAATCTAAAAATAACAAATTTTCAGAACATGTAGAGCAGAGAGCAGATGTTTGAATTCAGACCACAATATGGTACATGCAGATTGTTATTAATTGGCAAATACTTAAAGGCTCAAACACCTCCTAAAACCGTTTTGTTGTTTCATAATTAAACTGTTGGGGAAAAATGCAATGAAGGTTAATAGATGTGATAAACTGTGTTGTCTGTTTATGACACATGAGAAGTCACCTGAGAAACTGGGAGTTAGTTATCTCCGTTATCTGCTGCGGTGGCTCACAGCTGCAGGAGTCTTATTGAGGTCAGACTGGGATAATCAATTCACATGATTTAAAAGGGAAGTGGCCAAACAGATGTGTTTGGGGCTTTGTAACTTTCAGACCTGCAGAGAGCTCCAACCGACAGCACCAGGTGAGTAAGGAGGTGAGAAAGCTCGAACAGAAGTGCGTGCAAAGGTGAACTGCATGTGCAGGTATCGGGCTGGGACAGCACTGAATAATGTTCTGATAGGAGGATCATACATCAGTTTGAGGATATCCAGAATACATAAACAAGCATTGCAATACAGATAAGCTTGGGAGCACCTTGTGCTTTCGCTGTTTAGGAAACTGCACAGGAAGGAGATCAGATTTCCAATACAGAGCTGGTTTGCACAGTGTGGCTGCAGTTGGATCCTGAAGGCCTTGCCTTGGGTTCTATTACTGATATCTTAGGGGACTACACAACCCATTGTCTTCTGTGCTCCTCTAGAAACATTTTTTTCCAACCCCAGCAGGATTTAAAAAACCAAAGCAAAACAAAAAACTAGCCTTTTGGTGAATAAAATCTGGAAAATCTTAGATGTGTTGCTCCAGGAAAGTGAGAAAACTGTATATACTTTTACTCTGCCAGTCAGGGTTCATTATAGTTTCTCTTTAAATCCCACAACACTTATTTAAAAGTCGTTCAGAATTGCAAAGTCTAATTTTTCTGTCTTATATATAATTGGAATCCAGAGAGTCTCAGACAACTTTAAAGACACTAATTACATTTAAGACATTAAAAACATTAAAGAATGTTGGCTTTTAAAATTAATTTACTTTTGTGCTACTCTATTACAGTTTTGTGCAGGTTTGAACAAAAGTGTTACATCAAACTATTTGCCACGGCTGGCGGTAACTACAATCCTTTAATCCAGTACCTCTGAACATCAAAGTAGGTGCCATTGTAGCCAGAAGGGAACGACTGGTTTCTGAATGGATGCCGATATTAGGCATAAAACAAAGAAATAAAAGGCTTTTTATAATCTGCACCATTATTTTAAAGCAATTTTGTTGCATTTAAAGTCCTCAATCATTCTGGCATCTTTTGACTAAGTATGTTCAGAATCTACAGAACTGCCCTTGTAGTTTTGCCATCAGTTTAACAAACTATATAGTTTCCACAACAGCTATTATCTTTTAGTTTCATGTCATCAGTTATAACCCAATAATACTGTTTCATTTCCAGAAGGCATCATTTTCATACTCTTCTGTTGGAGGAAAGAACAAATATAAAATACAGAAAAGTCAGTAAAATAGTAGCAGACTACATCTTCTGGTAATCGGCCTGAAAGTCTGAGAAGAAAAGATTAGATCAAAAGGACTGGGAGACCAAATTACCCTTTCCCCTTTCTCTAGGGTGAGCTAATCTCTACAGGTCAAGGTTCAGCACAGTAGTTCAGCAGGAAGGAATTGGTGATGGAGTGATAAGGGAGGCAGTCAAAGTGTGAGATCTGAGCCTGCTAAGAAACGTGTGGTTGTAAATGCAAACACCTAACAGAATAAAAATAAATTATGTGCTCTTCAACATCAATAACACAAAGTAGTATTAAAAGTCTTTCTTGTACTTCTCCCTCAGCCAGGTCTGCTTCTGCCTTACTTTTTTGTGAATATACTGAAAGGAATTAACCATTTTTAATGAATATACTACCAGAAAAAGAGCTCAGTCTCTGTTGAAATCATTGCATCAATCACAATTTTCAGCAAAGGAAGGAGCATACTAATAATAAAGTATTTAAATGTCAAAATATTATTATTATTATTATTATTATTATTATTATTATTATTATTATTATTATTATTATTATTATTATTATTATTATTAATAATNTAATAATAATAATAATAATAATAATAATAATAATAATAATAATTTAGTACTCATAGAAATAGACATAACAGAGAGAAACCTCAAGTGCAGCATTTTAAACACAGATCATCAAGCCAGGGAAAGCCTATAACTTGTATATGTCTCAAAGGACATCCTGAAATTCTGGGCACCATCAGTTATATTAAACTATAAAACATCACAGACAAGAAAATTAAGATTATATTTTAATATTTAAATTGAAATATATATTCAGAAAAATGAAAGACAGGTATATATCACAAAAATCAATTCAGTTTGAACATGAGCTTTTATTTAGAAACAAGTAACTTCTGTACTGTGCGATATTTCTAAAGAAGGCCTTCTGTTCAGGTACACTGATTTAATCTAATAAACACCCTTGCCTCCTGCCTGTCCTCCTCAGCTTCCTCATTCTCTTGGAGGTTCCTGAGCAATGCAGGACTCCTCCATGGGATGACATGATGAACCCAACAATCCCTGGTCAGACAAGAAAACCCAGTGACTTTAATAAACAGAAAATAAATGCCATGAAATTCCACATTTTTCCAGTGTCTTCTGAATTCCCTTCAAAAGCATGAGAAGATGTCAGAAAAATAATATATTTTTACTTGACATATGAGAAAACAAATCTGGAGTTAAGAAGTCAGTCTGAGGTAAGCGTCACAGAGATAACATTTGAACTAAATTTTGAGTGAGATGAACAAAAATTAGGTGGAAAAAAGTGATTAATATTGGAGCCCCTTCAAAGAGGGATAGAGGTGGTGGAAGCTTTTTGGGTGTAGAAGAGAGAAATGTGTCACTGAGAGTGAGGGAAGACTGGATGCCATAAAACACGTTTTTCATTCTAGTTGTCATGCTGTTACAGATGGAGTTTGAGTTCTGACCCTGCTGCAGACCTATCTATAGAGATTCAGTGGGCTAGAGAGACAACTTTCTGCTTTTACAGAGGAGTTCAGGAGCTGCTCAAAACACAGTAATAAGAGAAGTACTCACCAATGATACCCAATGACTTCACTAATTCTAAATATAAATGTATTTGTGCTTTTGTTTCATGTCAAAAAAGCAATATGCAAGTTTATACAGAAAAAAGTAGCCTAAAGTTAATTCATACTCTTTCAGAAACACTCCATAGGCAAAGTCTCCCCTCCCTCAGTATGACTTTACTCCAGTACTACCATATAACTACCATTCGCCAAGGAGTTAATTCCTTTCTAGACCAGGACTAACCTCATTGGCAGGTCAGAACAGAAACCACTTCAAACAGTACAGAGATTTAAATGACAGCAGCAACATTCTTGGATTTTGAATTAGCAATCACATGAGCAGAGCAAGAATTTGCAAGAGGGGTTGTGATTTTTTATTATATTGGATTAGTATAAAGCAGGTTGCAGTGTAGAATGGGGCTGTAGCATACAGCAGTAGAGTTCAGTGTGTTACTTTTAGGATGGGAACACACTGAGATTAGCTTTGACAAGGAAGAGGCAGTGCTCAGATCTCAATTGTGATGAGACCAGGTTTGAGAACAGTTGTGGGATGATGTAAATGTGAAGAGGCAGGCACAGACAAAAAACCATGAGCATAGTCAAGTCATCAAGTTAACTCTGACACAGTACACTGACTTCTGTTTTCTTCTGTGATCTTCACTTACCTTGCTAAGGTACAATACCTGCCTTGGTGCCCTCCTGTACTCTCTCTTCTAACAGTGCTTCAGGAATTTGGATGGATTTTTGCCCTTGTTACTACAAAAGGCATGAATTTTTTCTGTTAGACTTTATAGACCTAAAACTGCCAATGGGAATGAACATCTGCAAAAGATTCAGGAAAATCCTTGTCACATACTGCAAAATAGTTTATGTCTTTCTGATATACTTACATTCTGAGTATTGAGTTAAGGTCTTTGAAAAGTGTGATTTTTGGTTCTCTGTTTTCATTAGAATATATTCACTGAATGATTTTAAATGGCAAGGAACTTATAAAATGAATAACTTGTTGTTACTTCCCCATAATTTGTCAGTTTTGAAAACCATTCTTCATATTGAAGAAAGAACCTAATTCATTACCTTGATTGCACTGCATGAGTTTTTAATCCTTACATTTTTTCTCCAATTAGACTTCTATGTTTTCACTACTGCCACATGTTTCCTGCATTATTTCAGGAACCCAAAATCCTTGAATATATGCATGTACAATTAACTGTAAGGATGAGACCTCACTAATTTGACAAGATATTGTTCTTTCAGATCAGGATTGGAACCCTAAAAGCCTAAGCAAGGCAAATATATGAAAATGAAGATATGAAGCAGAGTAAAGCTCAGTAAAGAGAGAGGTACAGACTGATACGCTTATAAGTCCTGTGACATTTATGCTGTATTGAATGACTTGTTTATTTTACGTAGTCCTGTTTCATTGGAAGATTGTCATGATGGGCAAAAAGTGATTATAAAGATTAGAAGATTACAAACTATGTTGAAAGAAGGGAAATTTAAAAATGTGCTGTAACACCAGTAAAAATTAATTACTTCTTCTGCATGGGATTTGATGGGAAATATTTGATAGAACCATCACCAACAGACAGAAACTGATCATAGGAATTTGAATGTGAAAATATGTCATAATATATTCATGAAGGTGAAATACCTCCCACACATTTGGAGTAGTATTAATTATGCCTTCCAAAGCAGAACAATCCCTTATGGGCTGCCAGACATTTAACAGATCATTGTCAGAGTCAGTTCTACAACTGCCTACTTTTGCTGAGGTATTACAAAATAAGACATCAGCTTGGCAGCAGTTATCTGCAGTGCCAAGACTAACAAGGACAACACTAACAGAGACAATAATCACAGAGAAGCACAACTGTGACTCCCAGAATCAAAAGAGTGGAAGAACTGAGTCTCACATTCCCAAGCAAGAACATCTTAGACCTGCCCTTCCCCTAGCTCTCTGCCCTGTCCCTTTCTTGCATTATTTAATCCCTTCTGCATGCGTGGCTCAGATGCCCATGCAAAATAATTTAGCAAACAAAATTGATGGTTTTGTTTCCTTAGGTATCCTGAAATTTGTTCCAGTGTACCATTATGAACCCATCTGCAAAAGTCAGGGGCAATGAAGCAGAAATATACCTAACATAGGGAAAGGACTTACTGTGAGAGGGTCAGGAGCAAGGAGCTCCAACCACCCCAAAGCAAGCCAGTCTCCCTCTCCAGAGACTTTTCAATGTGTTGAACTGAACAGATCAATGTGAAGGGAAACAATGGCATGGAGGAAAAACTTTAACACATGGCAAAAGACATCTTGCTTTACAAAGAAAGAATTGAAAGATGTAAAATTAAAACTAAGTAAGGTCAACTCCCATTTAAAATCTGTGACTGCTTAAACCACAGATTAAGTTTTAGATGGGGAAACATGTATTTCTGCCATCTAAAAAATGGTCCTAGTAAATTCCTCATATCTATTTTGAATTTTTCGATGTCAGAACTGTTATAATATTCCATGAGCGCCTGAACTGCACAGCTGATTTCCATGAGTTTACTATTCTTTGTCAGGTTAAGAAAGAAACAACAACAAAAAAAGAAACCTCCCACTATTTAGTGCAATGCCCAGGCATTTCTTTATCTGTCATTTGGAGGCTTCCCCCCACCGGGCTTATGCCCTCATTGCCTTGATCTGGAGTTCTGCGGTGGGAAGGGCATGGCTGGCAGTGGATGTCACCCAGAGCAGTGCATTATTCCAAACACAGAATAGGCAAACTCCTGATACATAGATCGGCTGGAGACAGGTGATAGGAGGAAGCTGGAAAGTTCTACCAGCTCAGTATAGACCAAGGGTCATGTTGTAACTCACCCCACTATTCCTGAGAACCAGAGTGAGAAATGTATTTTGGAAGATTGGTGGTGTGGCTTGCCTCCTTTAAGAGGTGTGAATATTCACGCACCAGCTCACAGGGGATGCACAGAAAGCACGGAATATTCTTAGTTGGAAGGGACGCACAAGGATCATGGAGTCCAACTCGAAAGTAAATGGCCCATACAGGGAATGAACCCACAACCTCAGTGATATTAGCACCATGCTCTAACCAACAGAGCTCATCTCAGCATCTAGACCATGATAAAACCAAACCTACAGAATAATACATGGCAGGGACATTAGGCATCTCCTAATGGGGGTCTGCTCTGAAGGAAACACCCATGTAAGCAGCATATTTCTGATTTGAAATCTCAGGGATTGGATGTCATCTCAAGAAAATTTTTCCCCAAGTTTTGTGGTGCCCCATACCACAGGAGTTGCATGTATGGTAAAACAGTTGTGTTTTCTGAAGGAAGCATGTGTATTTCCTAGTGCTTGTTATTGTATGTCTTGCTTGTGTTCTTCCTTGTTAATATAGACTAAAACACTTCAAACATTTTCTTTTACAGATGAATTTATTATACAAATTTAGTAAAAATACAGTAATATCCAATCTCAGTAGTTAATAGTCTTGGGAATCACAAGACATTGTGAAAGATGGGGGCTGAAGAAAAGAAGTCAGAAAATAAGGAAACAATAGAATTGTCAGGTTTTGCTTAATGAGCTGCTGTCTTGGCTTGCTACCAAAGCAGTTATTTCTGTGTCTCTGCAGATGGAAGTGACATACACTGTGGATCTTGCATGTCATCCTGCCTAGACTTCAGAGGAGGCTCTGCACTGATTCATGCCTGTGAGAGACTGCATCTATTTTTATTTCCTTTGGATAAAATGTAGAGAAGCTAATATTTCTGTGAGAGTCATAGAGGTCACGTAGAAAATAAGAAACACGATACAGTTATTCATTTTCTTTTTTTGTTTTTAGCCAAAATGTACATCTTCACAGAATATGAATATGTGGAACTTAAATTTTGTGGTTACTGGAAATTCAAATATAGAAAGCAATGGCATCTACAAAGAAAATGCTCCCACTGAGAACTTATTTTATCAATGAATTAAACCTAAATTGTTCTGTTCCATTCTAAAATTCAAGTTGCTTGAGAATCCTTCCTAGAAGTAAAGCATAATGAACAGAACCTGAAAGTTTCCTTAAGAGAGTGCATTACGTGTTCTGAAAGATAAATGTTCTAAAATGTTCTTTCCTTGACAGCATCAGCTTCATTTGTGTCATGTCTTGCAACACACAGTGTGATGGAAGTCTGTATGTCAAACTGTACTGCACCTAATAAAATGGAGCATATGCCTGTAAAAACAATTAAATATGTCAAATTGAGGTAATTATACCTATTCTAGACCTCAGAAAGTGTGGGCACTTTTGGGTAGGAAATGCTGTGCCTAGAAGAAAGGTTGTGTGTTTTCTTAGCTTAACCTAAAGTCCTTGATCTGCTTTGAGACAAGGAACAAGACTTGGAGAGATTAGCTAGAGGACATATTTAGACAACGGTGCTAAGAGTCTTAACAATGTCAGGTTAGTGGAGCTGGGTGACATTTATAGCTCTATCCATGCTGTAACCATGCATCAAGTTCTCTCTTTAGGCAGTCATGGAAGGACATGCACCATACAATGCTTCTTACTCTTCTAAGAATGCACACAGATGACAGTTCACAGGAATTTGCAGGAGAACAGAACAATGATTTCACAGATTAACAGGGATCATATAATGTAAATATTCTGTTTTAAAAGAATAAGCCACGTGATTAGGCAGAAAGAGAGCTCTGTGGTATTTGAGTCTTTAATGAAGAGCAGAGAGATTTCATTAGCTCTTTGATGCAAAATTATTAAGGAGAGAGATGAAACTGAAGGATGAAATATTAGAGTCACCTTTTGCTTATGTTGAAATCCCTCACATAAACAAGTGGTGTACAGGTGGCAGACTTATAAAGCAAAATTATTTTTAGAAAAGGAAATTTAATAAAGGAAATATGTTAATTGAGTTATTTGAAAAGTGTGCAATGGCTCATTTAGCAGTATAAAAATCTCGAGTGCATACATACACGTGCAATTTTATTTGTCCAGGTGAAGAATTAATTGCCTTCCTTATGAAGAAAATAATATTCCTGAGGGGAAAATAAATTATGAAATATAGAATGAAGCAAAAGCTGATAGATGATTAAATGAAAAATATATTTCTGTATCCTTTATATGAATTGAAAGCAATATCTTTTTTCAATGTAACATGTCACATCAAGCCATAAGGATGATGGCCTGGGTAGCTGTTGGCTAAAAGTTTTTACTTAGCATTTTATCCCACAGGCAAATTCTGAGTTGATTCTCTCAGACTCTAAATGAAGGACAAAGTCTAACCTTGAGCAATGCCCCATTCCTTATGCTTCTGTTCTCTCTTTCACTCTGGTGTGTACTCAACAACAAAGGTAGAGGGTTTTGTTTGGTTGGTTTTGTGATGTTTTTGGGTTTTGTGGGGATTTTGTTGGTTGGGTTTTTTAACATTTTTTTAATCTGGGGATAAAGAAATCCCCTAGGAAACAGATGTCTCTCCCTTCTGTGAAATGGAAGTAAAGGTGGCTACTGGATTATGTAACCCCTTTCAGTTTGTTTGAGTTAAAAGCCAGTAGAGGGGAGCTGTCTTTCTGTGCTTCTGTTTGCTCCCTGCTATGGAAGGATAGAAGGAGACATTGTAAGCCAAAAATTCTAACACTGTAGGCTTTAACAGGCTATAACATACACTGACTAGCAGAACTCTCTGCTTGAAAAACAGCTGTTCACACTGCTTCAATGACAGGGCAAAGAAAGCTGCAGGACTGTGTTTTCTGCAACTAAAGGTATCTCCTGCCTTAACAATCTAGCCTGTGTGTTGAGATTTCCTCATGCCATTCACAAGGAATTGCAACAGCATGGAATCTACTATGCTAGAGCATATTATATCCCTGTGTGAGTTTATGTGTCCTCTCTGCCAAAACTTTGGAGGAAATCCTTAAGGGAAACTCTGAGGGGGAATAAACATTTCTATCTACCTTTAAACAACATGGTTTGGTTTTATAAGTGATTAATGTGCAGTAAAAGAATCTTCTTTTTTTTTTTTTAATAAAGCAGCTGTGTTTATCTTTTCTAATGTAATAGATGACATTTCCTAGTTTAATAGAGTGAACTCATTAGATATAAAAATAATGCCGTAGAATTTGCTGCTTTCCATGTCTTTTCCCATTTGTTTTAGGCAGACATGAATGTGTAACACCCCTCATTCAAATAACTTTAATGTTGTGACATAACGTGACAGAAGTATGGAAGTCCCAAGGTAGTGTTTTCCTCAGACTTTTCTTTCTTATTGCCAAGATATGAAATAAAAGAAGATTCCTTACTCACAGTGTTTGGAAGCATCAAAGGCTAACATAAAGAGAAGTCAAAAGAGCTTTGATACTTTTATTCCTATTTTTTACCCTGGAACTGCCTGAATAATCCTAGCACACTGTTTCAGGATACTTAGAGGGACAGAAATTGTTGTAATTAGGATGACAGAATGGGTTCTTAAATGTTGCTTGGAGAAAGGTCTCTGACAGAGGTGTCATTTTAAAATGGTGGCAAAATAACCAAACAATAAAAATACACCAAAACCAGAAAGAGAGTAGAAGAAGAAATTTATGCCTTTTTAATCTCTTCAATTAAATTTTGTATTGTTAATGTCATGACATGGACAGTTTTTGTTACACTTAACATGTACCTTTTAAACTTTTTCTAACAGTACCCCAGAGGAGACCATTCTATTGTGCATCTTACTGTCAGAGAAATGCAGAGATGAATAGCAGAAATAAATTACTACCTAACAAGAAGCATAATTTCCAGGCCCTGAGTGTATCCAGAAATACGATTTCCCAAAAGAATGCTCAATCTCAAACATTTCACAGAAGGAATAAAGTACACTTGTCTAGAGGATGCCCTGTGATATTTACCCATGACATTTCCCTGGTAAATTGAGTTGGAATATATTTCCAAGGTAAGGTAGCATTTCAGTTTTGTTTGATGTGTAAACATATTGACATAAAACACATCCACTTCAGTTTTAAGCAAATTCCATGTCCTAGAGTCTGTCGGAGACTGCAGGAAATGAGTTGTACAGAAATTCACAGCTCCTAAATACAATACATGTGCAGATTTTAGGACTAGATAAGCAGACTACAAATACTGGTAAATAGTAAAGGAGAAGGACAGTTTTTATCACCTTGGGATCAAAAATCAAGCTATATCTGCATTGGAAGTTACAGGGACACTTTTCAAAGTTGAAAACTGAAAGGAAAACCTAGATGTTTTATTGATTAATTGATACAGGGCCTTTGTAATTTATTTTTATCACAGGAAAAATTAGCAGATGACACTGTATAGGAAAGGTGCTTGGGAGGATTTAGAATGAGATACCCAGGAAAATTCGGATCCCAGCTACACACAACTTGCTTACCTCAGCTTTGCAGATCTTCACAAGTTTAAAGCTAATTATAACCTTGTCAAAATGCAAAAAAATAAATCAAGACTTTAGATTGACTGCCAAAGCAGGCAATTAAATCCCTGAAAATGCTTATGGCAGCAGTTTTTCTCCAACTCATCTTCCCAGTAGACATTATCAAAGAGACATGGTTTTCCAAGTTCATTTAAAAACAGGCTGGTTATAACACACATAATAACACAACACACACAAAAAGCTCAAAATTTAGAATGTTTGTTTCCAGGGATAAGGTACCTACCACCTCGCTGCTTCCTCTTTAATAAATTCCCTTTAATCTGAATATCAAGTATGACCTTTCGTCCTTCTCTTCTGAAATGTTTGATATTTTCTGGATTTGTACTGGGAGCCTGGATACTTTGAGTTGCTCTGCCAAGTACCTGGAAAAGTAGAAGTGAAGTAGGACAAAGCCTCACACAATTTGAAATGCTCAAAAGTCTTCATTCAATCCCAGTTCAGGAAAGGAAAGTTTTTAAAGGGATGAAGCTGATCCTTGACCTGATGTCCCTTTCTCTCCCCACTCCCAGCAGAGTGCCCCGTGGTGGAGCTGCTCTACCCCACACTGTCCTAAGTTAGCAGGGTCTGTGTGAGGTTGTGTGTCCAGCTGCAGTTTCAGCTAAACATGGAAAATAATGTGGTTTGTGAGGACACTGTAAAAAAATGTGGCTCTATAATATGGCCATGTCTAAGGAGAGAGTAGGGATGGTTGCTCAGGCTGCCTGTCCCCATTCATCAGCACTGAGGCTTCATTGTGACACTTCAGCATGACTGTGCAAGGTGGATCCTACATTTAAGTGCAAGAGGTGTCCTGTTTGCCTCTCCCTCCTCTTATGCCTTTTGCAGATAGCTATTCCTAACAGAAGGATCAGTCTTGAGCAAATGGAGGTGACTGCTGGCAGTTTTGGGGAAGGTGCTCTGGCTAGAGAGTATACTACGAGTCCTAGTAAAATATATATATTGTATAAGTGGCCTTGCCCCAGTCCTAGTTGTTCTAAATGGGCTGCAGCTGTGGCGTCCTTAATTTGTTGGCAGCTGTGGCTAATGAAGATGACTGGGATAAAAGAGGGGGTGGGCTGTCTGGTCAGGGAGAGCCTTGGAGGAGTTCTGATGAGGAAGAAGGAACAACACTGCTGTGAAGAGCTGTGTATGAGAAAACCACTCAGAAGGTATGGGACTCTAGAAATAGGATAACAACAATGTGAATACAATAAGAGAGGAGAAAGGAAGGCTGAGGACGCGTCTTTGCGCTTACCCTACTGAACATCTCAACGTGGGTCTCACCAAGCAAGCCACCCAATCCCATCCAGAAACACCTGATGCAGCACAGCAAGCTGCAGCTCTGACTGGGCCAGATCTGTTCATCAGATCTAAGCCCTAACTCTACTCACAAACTCATTTCCAGAGCTCTGTGTTTATGACATTAAAAAAATAAATTAAAGGAATAGTTCCATATTCAAAGCAAACACAAGGTAGCAGTGGTGCTAAGTATTGTTGGGATGTCAGCACATCTTCCTCTCTGTGGAGGAGGAAGCCACAAGGCAGCGCTGGAGCATCACTTTCCTGTGGGGACCTGTGAAGGTGCTAATGGGGACAAAAACTTCTAACCTCTTTGCCACTATGTCATGGGCAAGTTTTGCAGTTGAGGTGAAATCCATATGCACTGGTGTTATTATGATTCTTCACTAGACATGAAAATGAGGCAAACCTCAAAACACTGAGCACTTAAAGTTGCATGGCTTTCAGTGGGTTTTTCTTTTTTTTTTTTTTTTTAATGATTTTAAGAGTTTCTGCGTGATGGAACCCTTGGCAGCCCCAAGGAAAGTTG